AATAGCTAATCAAATAGCACAAATACATGAAATCTCTAAACTAAGAGAATAGGCAGAAGATGCATTTCAAGAAGAAACACTCCAAGAAGAATGGTTTAAAGAAAAAGACTGAGAATTAAAAGAACACAAAAACCAATATATGGGAGGAACATCATCAGGGATAACAATTCTATTAGAAATGGAATTTGATGACCAAGAAGAACATTACTCGCAGAACAAGTACAACAGATGACAGTTGCAGCAGAACATGAAGCACCACAAAATAAACAAGAAAAGAAACTAAATCAACACTATTTAGAAACCACACAAAGAGAAATAAATCAATTCAGAGAACAAGTAATAGGAAAAGATAATACTAAAAAAGATAAGAAAGGAAAAGCTAAAAGCTTAAATATCACCTTTAATTAACAAGAAGAAAGCAAAGTCAAAACACCAAAAATAGAAATATTTATTAAAACACAAATGTCACAATTAGATCGAATCCTACAAATAGAAAAAGAACAAGAAGATTCAAGAATTAAAACTGGATTAAGACAGCTAAAACAACGATTAAATAGCATGGAAACAAAAAATAAATATGTTTCCCAGTTATCAAAACAACAAACTAATGAACATATTCAAGAAATTGAAAGAGTCACAAATAGAAAAATATTAGAAGCAGAAACAGCAGAGGATAAAAAAGCTTATCTATATAAAACAATATCCGTATTAACAGAAACAAAAAATGCTATTCTCTGGAAGAATAGAGATCTAGTAATGGATCTAGAAGAAGAATACAGGTATGCAACTAATCAAACACTAAACCTAGACAGAAAAGATTTTGAAGTAATACAAGAGTATAAACAATGAATCTTAATAGAAAGATTTGCCAGACAAATAGAACAATGTGAAAGTGAACTATTACGAGAACAATACCAAGCAAAATATAGAGAACTATTGGGAGTATCTCTAGAAAACTTAGATAAAATGCATGATGTAGAAGACGAAGAAGAACGAATATTCCAAGAACAACAACGAGCCAGAAGACAAGACTTAGAATTATCAGAAACATTACCACTAAAACATCTATATCATGAAGAATATAAACCAACAGTAAATGAACTGTAAGAAACAGAACAAATGGCAGATAGATGGTTACTAGACGACAACTTTGGAAGAACATTAGAATGGTTAAATAAACAAGATAAAGATCAATACACCAAAATACTAGAACAAACAATATCAAGAACAACAACAAGACCAAGTTCACCAACATCACTAACCTTTCTTGATAGTGCAGGGCTATTAAGTGCAGCACAACAAATGCTAAGTAGAAGAAATTCAATGCAATCAACACAATCATCCCACCATTTTAAACAACATCAACATAAATCATCACCACTAATAAAAGAAGTATGACCAACTGATATGGGGTGTCCCCAGTTAAAAGAGCCCATTTTTACAATTTTTTGAAAATTGAGTTTTATTAGATTCATATAAATTTTGACATGACTGGCATTTTTCAATTATAAATGAAAGTCAATTTGCATAATAAAAAATCAAGATAATGTAAAAGAAAAATTACATGAGGCTGCGTTGGGCCAACACATCATGAGATTACCCGATAGTCACTTGCTGTCTTTAACCAATCAAAATCGTGAAATTTGATTAATCCCAGATCAGTCCGAAAATCAAAACAAATAATTAAACTCAATT